AAAATCCTTGATTTCAAGTGGAAAACATGTTTAATGATGTTAAAAGTTGAAAGAATTGAGTAAAAATCAACTTACAAATGATTTGGGATGAAGTTTGCTCTTGAAAAATCGCCTATGGTGTTTGGGTTTTGAAAGAATGGTGAAAAGTGATGAAAATTCGACTAAGTATAAAATTTGCTGGGCCTCGGATATGGGAATTGCGAGCCTTGGTTCGCATTTGCGAACAAGACAGGGCTGGGAATTGCGATCCTTGGTTCGCATTTGCGAACACTGGGCCTACAGGCGGGGTTTCGCATTTGCGAACCTCCCCCCCTTCGCATTTGCAAGCCTACCCATCGCATTTGCGACAGTGCCCCATTTTCTCCAGACTTTTGAGTGGAACCAATAAAAGGAAGAAAGGTGCACTTGTTTTTTAAAATAATACACCACTAGTGGAAATTGAAAAAAAAAAGAATAATCTGGAAAAAAAAAGAAAAAAAAATAGAGATGAATACATTGTTGTCTTGTTCTTGATAGTGGGTATGAATTAATGTAGTGCTTAAAGAAGAAGGGAGCATTTTTGGGGTGATATTATTTGTAAAAGTGAAGTGGATTGAAGAATTTGCGCTTATGTGGTGTGTTAAAGTGCGTAGGAGGATTAGTCACTATTCCTAAATATATCCTACCCGTCCCTTAGCCCACATTACCACCATGAAAAAGTCCTAATTGATTTTAGATCGAGCGAGCCTACATTAGTAGAGATTTACATTAAGGGCAAGCTTATGGTACCAATTGCATGCATGTGACTTCTTTTGTGAGTGTGAGAGATTTTCTTTGATATATGTGAGCATGAAATTCGAATGTGTGGATTGATTCTACTTTCTTTGTTGTGATTGTGAGGGCATGTGATTCGTGAAGGAAAAGCAAGTCTTGACTTCTGTGTGGAGTACTTTGAGAAAGTGTGAATATTGCTTGGCACGTGAGAGTCGACTTTTGAGGCTGAGATTGTTCACTACTAGGCGTAGCATATGTGAATTGTTCTAGGTGTAAGGCGTTAAGGGAAATTGTTGAGTGGAACCTCTAGAGAGTATAGTTTGATTGCTCGAGGACGAGCAATGAATTAAGTGTGGGGTGTTGATAATAGGCTAGGTCTAGGTGATTTGGCGATTGTTTATGCTCCCGCTTGATTATGTTTCAATGTCATAATATGGTTAAATGATGAAAAATGGGCTCTAATTGTGAATTTTACACATTGCAGGATGGTGAGCCTATATGATGCCTTAAAGTTGTGATTGGAGCTACATTGGAGCAAGAAAGACCCCTCGGAGCTGAGTGCGCGCAAAGACTAGACAAAGAATTGAAGAAAAAATGACCTGAACTAGCGCGAGCTCTAGCGCGAGCAGTAGAGCGATCGCGCTAGTCCAGAAGCGGGAGGCAGAATGTCAGTAGACTAGCGCGAGCATTAGCGCGTTCGCGCTAGTCCCAGTTCCGAAAAAGATTTGTTAGGGACAAAATTGGAAATCTGGAGGAAATTTCACTTAACCTATATAGAGTCAAGCTCGCCCAAGAATTAGATATCAAGGTTTTCATAGTTTAGAACAAGAAACATAGAGGCAAGAGGCTAGGAGGAAAATCCAACATCAAGTTCTTCTTTTCTTCTTCTTGTTTTTACGTTTTGAATGAAATTAAACATTATTGAGATGAACACTACTATGAGTGGCTAAAACCTATTGTTCTAGGGTCACGGGTGAAACATGATTGTTGTTGTTCAGCGTTTAATTTAACAAAGTTGGTTTAATCATATTGGGTTGTTTATTTAATTCTGTTCTCAATTATTTTGCTGAGTAGCTAATAGTGGAATACTATCTACGAATCTATAGTTGAACTCGAAAGTGGGAACTTTGGATTGCATATAGAATTAAATAGAGCAAGTTCTTGAACCTGGGCATCGGGGAACGGATTCGCGGTTAGGATAGACATATACCTAATTGCCTTGTTTGGTTGAAATACAGGATTTATAAATGCATTCTTGTTGATTCTAACTCCATAGACATATAGGCGTTAGGTTAGCTTGAATAGGCAAGTAAGAACTCGACAGATTCTTATGAGCAATATTAACCCTGTCAATCAACAACCCAGATAAATCAATTAGTTATTTTAAGCCAAGAACGCAACATGATTGTTAACTAGCCCGTGACCCTGGAATATTCTCCCCTACTGATTGTCATTCGAAATTGCTATTTGTTTGGTTGATTATTTTAGTTAGTCTATTAATTGATATTTTAGGTAGTAAATTAAAGACGAATATCCTTTGTGAAAAATCTCTTAGATCGATAAGTTAATTGAGTTTAAATCAGTCAATAATTAATCACAAGTCTTCGTGGAAACGATACTCTATTCACTATTTTATTACTTGACGATCACGTGCACTTGCGTGAGTGTTTTGGTCGCAACAAAGATAAGAAATACAATGAAACCAGATGCTAGTATCCGGTGTCATCTTACCTTACTTACTCATATATATGATTTCCTAATAAGACATCAAAATGTTCAGAAATTTCATTAATTAGCGGTACCAATCTAATCGTGGAGTACTATTGGCAGCTAGTATAATACAAGCTAGACTGAATGAACATGACAAAAGATGATTCGCTACAAATTAAAGTTGTTAAATAAAAATGTAAAACTTCAACTTAGATAAATTTCATAGGCCTTAATCTCACATATTACATGAAGACAAAATAAGTTATCGCGCCTCTTTTACATTAATATTCTAACTTAATTACCTTTTTCCCATTTAAAAGGAGATCATATATCAATGGGGTTGAATCCTAACAGGGAGGCCATTCGATGGTACAGGCCGTGATGCTTGGTAAATAATCTTCTACCAATTTCTCTAACTTGAATTTGGTCACATCATTATGCATAAACACAAGTGTTTCCAATCTTGCATATATACTCTTTTCCTGGACACATTATTTTTGGTCCTCCTCCAAATGGTACGAATGTGTATTGTGCATGTCCATTCCCTTCAAATCTACGAGGATCAAACTTTTCTGGTTCTGTAAAATATTCTGGATTTTTGTGTGTTGAATACACATATATTCCAAAAGGTCTGTTCAATATACGCATAAATAATTAGAAAAATTACTGCACAGTCTTCTGAATGAGGAAACTATGACTAATAATTAATGCGTTTATAGTAAGCCGAGTGTGTTTTTTACGAGGAAAAACATTTTCCAAAAAAAAAAAAAAAGAAACCATTTCTTTTTGAAAAGGTTTCTAGAAAAATGTTTTCTGATGTTTGGTTGGAGTGAAAAATATTTTCTTTAAAAAAAGTTATTATATTGATAGTAATGTATATTAACAAATTAAGCGGATAGCATTTGAATTTGAGTACTAGAGATTTATCACAATATGTAAGCATTGGGTTGGAGCAATAATATGAAGCTAAAATTTGGGATAGCTGTGAAGAAAAATAACTGTCTATAAACGAGGGAAGTCATTCAATCCCTTTAGTGAATCTTCTGGAAACCAAATATGCATCGGATCCTTAAAATGTTTTTCTTCAAAAAAATATTCTCTGCCAATTGAGAGATTATATTGTTAGACATAGTTTGTATATGTGGGGTTTCCCACATAAGGATAAATAAGAAGCTATTAATAAGAAGAAGTGTAGATCAATACATATATTATAATGAAAAAAATTGGAAAATATTTTCTATTAGGTTGCATAAAAGATAAAAGTAATGACTCATAATAAATGCAATTACTATGATACAAATCTAAAATGTAACTTAAAGTAACAACTGGAATTAATACCTGAAAAGTAAAGTAGAATTAACCCATATAAGAATTCTTTACAGGAGGAATCTTGGTAGCTTAATTGATTGGCTACTTGAACTTGCACCTTATGGTCCGGGTTCGATTTTCACCTTGTAACCCCTAATCCCCTCTCTCATTTTCCCTTCCCCTACCCGGCCCCTATCTAATAATTTTGTTTTTACAATATCAACGATTTAGGATATATGAATAAAATCCATAAAAAGTTTACCTTTTATAAACCTCGTTAAATATATCGTGAAGCTCAGCAAGATATTTCAAGACGAAAGTAATTGCAGCACTTGTTGCATCATAGCTTGCAACCAGCAACCCTACAATATTGTTACAAATCTCTGCATCATTCATCAACTTCCCATTTTCATCAGTAGAATTCATAAGACGCGACAACAAGTCATTATAATTTTTCTCTTTTTTCTCCACCATCTTCTTCTTTCTCTCCCTAATAACCCTCAGAAGCTCTTCACGTACCATTTTTCCGCCTTTTATCGCTCGATTATTGTGATGACCCAAAAGGTCATCATTTGTTGTTTTTTTTAAAACGAATTCTGCGTTCCGAGGCCTTAAAAACCTCTTTTAGCATCACCTCGATTTGCGTGCGTAGTCCAGGTGCGTAGCCCGAAAGCCTATATGCGAAAATCTGTAAAAAATGATAAATTTTGACTATAAAATGAATTAATTTGACCTCGGTCAACGTTTTGGGTAAACGGACCCGGACCCGGACCCGTGATTTGACGGTCCCGGAGGGTCGTAGGAAAATATGGGACTTGGGCGTATGCCCGGAATCGAATTCCAAGGTCCCAAGCCCGAGAAATAAATTTTTAAAGAAAATTGTTTTCTGAAATTGTTTAAAGGATTTGGAAATGCAATTTGATTAGAATATGTTGGTTCGGGCTCGTATTTTGGTTCTGGCGCCCGGTACAGGTCTTATATATGATTTAGGATAATTCTGTGAAGTTTGGTAAGAAACGGAATCCGTTTGACGTGATTCGGACCTTAAATGCAAAATTGATGTTTAAGGAAGTTTTGAGAAAATTTCATTGATCTTGAGGTTTAATTTGATATTCATGATGTTATTTTGGTGATTTGAGCGCACGAATAAGTCCGTAGGATGTTTTTGAGGTTTTGTGCATGTTTGGTTTGGAGCCCCGAGGGCTCGGGTGAGTTTTGGATAGGCTACAGGGTGCATTTTGAACTTAGAAAATTGCAGGATTTTAGCTGGTATGAACAGGCCTTGCGAGCTCGCAAATGCGAAGGCTGACTCGCAAATGCGAAACAGCCCAGGCCTGCCCTTTCCTTGCAAATGCGAGATTTTTCTTCGCAAATGCGAAGTTTTCCATTTGGCCAGGGATCGCAAATGCGACCAATGTGTCGCAAATGCGGAAGTCGCAAATGTGACACTGGTCTCGCAAATGCAAAGGTCCGGAAATTCAAAAGGGTTCGCAAATGCGAACCCTGTTTCGCATTTCCCATATCAGCAGAGGTCGGGGTTCGCAATTCCCACATCTGAGACCTGCAATTTTTATACTTAGCCGAATTTTTAACCCATTTTCATATCCTCTCAACACAAAAACACACTTAGGCGATTTTTCAAAGATTTCTTCTTCTCTAAGTCAATTGTAAGTCGTTTATAACTAACTTTCTTCAATTCTTAACATCTTTTAACATGATTTCAACTTCAAATCAATGATTTTCATGGGGGAAATTGGGTGTTTTGGGTAGAACCTAGGTTTTTCAAAAATTGGGGATTTGGACCTCGATTTGAGGTCCGATTTCAAAATAAATTATATTTTTGAGTTCGTGGGGGAATGTGTGATCAGGTTTTGGTTCGAACCTCGGGTTTTGACCATGTGGGCCCGGGGGCGATTTTTGACTTTTTGGGTAAAACTTTGGAAAAAATTCATTTTTATGCATTCGAATTGGTTGATTTAGCGTTTATTAATGTAATTAAGTAACTTGTGACTAGATACGAATGAATTGGTGGTGGAATCGAGGGGTAAAGCTATAATTGAAGCGAATTGTGTTCGTGGCATCGAGGTAAGTGTTTGGTCTAACCTTAGCTTGAGGGATTAGGAGTTGAGTCCTATTTGTTAAGTGTTAATTGTTGAGTACAACGTATAGGTATGGTGACGAGTATCTATACGTTGGTGTCTAGCATGCCCGTGAGTCTTTATATTGTAATTTTCATAACTTCGTTGTATCTTTCATGCCTTGGTGATGGTTTCTATATGTTGTGTAAAGTTTGTGGAAGGAATTGTGACTCATGAACATTGAGGAGCGTTGGCTCAAGTTATGTAACGAATTGTAAAAGTGTAAGTGATAATTAAATCTCTAGAGCATTGGCTCGAGTATGAAGTGAATTGTGAAGTAAAAGTGAGAAAGAAAAGGAAGTTATCATGTTGATACCCTTGCCGGGCTATTATTGATTTATTTGTTATCTCCCTTGCCGGGATGTTGATATTATTGATGTTGTTCCCTTGCCGGGATTTATTTGTTGAAATGTTGTTCCCTTGCCGGGATCTTTATTGCAATTTCATTTATTCCCTTGCCCTATTATTTGTGATTGTTGTTTGGGTGAGGAAGAGCGTTAAAGCACGAAGGGTGATGCCGTGCATTGTTTGTATTGTGAGGAAAGAGTGTAAAGCACGAAGGGTGATGCCGTGCCGCACGATGCACCATTCCGTGCCGATTTTATTGATTATTGTGAGGAAAGAGTGTAAAGCACGAAGGGTGATGCCGTGCCGCACGATGTACCATTCCGTGCCGATTTTATTGATTATATGGTGAGGAAAGAGAGTAAAAGCACGAAGGGTGATGCTGTGCACATTTTTATTATTTGATTGCTTTGGTGAGGACGAGAGCAAAAGCACGAAGGGTGATGCCGTGCATTTATTGAATTCTGATTCTTGTCGATATCTGAGTTATGTTATTTCTTTCGTTTATTTAATGTCTTTCTATTCGGAATTTCTATCTCCCCCACAGCATGCTCCCCTCCCATTTTGACTGGTTATTTCTGTGTCTCTTTTCTGCTGTACATATATTTGAACTGCACAGGTTTATGTGGTAGTCTGGTCTAGCCTCGTCACTACCTCGCTGTCACGACCCAATTTTCCCTCCGTTAGGTTTCGTGATGGCACCTAGTCTCTAAACTAGGTAAGCCCAACATAAACTGAAATAACATTAATGCTTTCTAACTTTAAATTAACCAACTCTGAATAATCCAAAATTTCCCCAAAACCGGTGGTACAAGTCACAAGCCCATCTAAGAGTAATTACACAAAATAATACATCTCTGCCCCGAAACAAAGAGCAAATGGAAATAATTACAATTGAAGGTGACTCCGAGACCTGCGAACGCAGCAGCAGGTTACCGTGAGTCTCCACTGCGACGATCCGCACAGCTACTATTGATCAATACCTGGATCTGTACACAAAAAAATGTACAGAAGTGTAGTATGAGCACACTACGGCGATGCCTAGTAAGTATCAAGACTAACCTCAGTGGGGTAGTGACGAGGAACAGTTAGGACACCTACTGGTCAATTAAGATTAACAGGAGATGATAATAAACATAAAGATAAAGATAACGAGGTAATACCAACTGCGAAGAGAAATCCAAGTACAAACAGTATAAACAATAAAGGGAGAATACGGATAGTAACGAACGGAGATCACGTAAATCAGATAAGCCAAACAATTCAACACTGATATAGTGTTGACAAGGACAAGTAAGAATGTATCCAACTAAAGAAACAATGTCAACTCAATCACTCCCATTAAGTTTAATACACCATCTCGACCATTTAAATCCTCAATTTCTCATATCATAATCTCAACTTTCGAACTTTCAGCACGTACGGCGCCTTGTGCCCACATATTTTCCATCTCACTCTTAACAACAAAATCCCCATGATATACAATACCAAATGTCCTTGCAAATACACTTAAGATGTTCAAGAAGTCCCATTTGCATAATATAAATTAAAATTGAATTTCTAAATAAGTTTGGAAAAATCGGCGAGAAAAGATGAAGTTATTTTTAGAAATTATTCTCGTAAGAAAATACCTCTTTAAATTTAAAATACAACATCGGAAGAATTATTACCTTTAACAGGGGAGTTGAAAACTTAAAACTTAGTAGAAATTTCTTTTTGAGTAAAATACAACCTCAGACGGTTTAAGGAGATATAATTGAAAAACTAATTGAATTAAGGATGTAACAATTATTGAAGTTTGAAGTATTAGAACGTATAAATAAATATATATTAATACGGTGAGGTACTGAAAACATTGTGGGTTCCAACACAAAGGATCACAGCAATGAAAGAAATAAACAGTTTAAACATTTGAATTGACAACAACAACTAAACATAGCAAACCGAAGGTGCACGACACCAAAAATCCAATCACTAACAAGGATAAGAGGACCAAACAGAGAATTTCACTTTCGTCTTATTTATCTCGTGGCAGGCGTGCCACCCGCTCCCATTTCACTTATCTTGTGGTAGGCGTACCACCCGCTCCCATTTCATCATATCTTGTGGTAGGCGTACCACCCGCTCCCATTTCATCATATCTTGTGGTAGGCGTACCACCCGCTCCCATTTTATTATATCTTGTGGTAGGCG